TGATCCGAATGTACATAATTCTGAAAAGGGGGAATAAATGTGTTTGTTTGTTATTTTGCTGTAACAAAACACCACTTGCTTAAAATAACACAATTTACTATCTTACAGTTGTTCTGTAAAGTAGAAGTCTAACACAAGTCTCATGAGATTAAAATAAAGGCAGGAAAAGAAGAAAGGCAGGTTGCTTTCTTTTTTGGAGAGTCTATGGAGAATCCTTCTTTCTTACCTCTTCCATCTTCTACATGTCTCCCACTTTCCTTGACTCATAACTGCGTGCCTCTTCCATTTCCAGCTCCAGCATGTTACATACTGGAGATTGTGGGGTGTTCTTATGTAGTCCCCTGTGACCACAGCGTTAGCATTTATTAGAGACTCCTTGGAAGGCAGGCTGAGGCAGGCTGTCTAGTGGAGAGGTTGTCCTTCCTAGGGAATCTGAGGAGATGGGGAGCATCACCGTCTCGCCCAATCTGGATCTCAAGATAGAAGAGGCAGGGCTGGTGGGGTCTCTTCAATCTTGGGGCTAAAAAGTGGGGGAGGAAGCTGTCATTTCGGTCATTTCTGACCAAGTTTGAGACCCTATCGCTGCAGAGATGCTGATTGCTCTCCTGCCTGGGGGCCGTCCTTCAAGGACTTCAGTGCTCGGAATGCCGGCTCACTGCGGGGACCAGACGCTAGCGCGCTTGAGTCCTGATTTTTAACATTGCCACATAGAATCCAGTGCGGAATCGAAAATTCAAGCTAGAACTCTGTAATTTTCATTACAAAATGAGATGTAGCCTCAAAGACTTATGAAGGAGAAACATCAGTGAAAGAAAGTTGTAGCAAGTCACTGGGTTCGGTATTGGCCAGAGAGTGAGCGCTGGCCATTGCCTGCGTTCCTAAACCCCCTCCCCCAACTTGTTGTACTTCAGCATCTACCTAACCCTTTCCTGCCTCCAAGCTGACAACTGAAAGCACCTCTGATTCCTCTTATGTTTTTAGTGAGTGTAGTGTGCTAAACAAACTATACTAGTCTTTGTAGCTATAACTTTAAAAACTCCCCACCTCCCAACCGTATACAAACTATATCTATAGAGATTTAAGCACCACCCTTAACAATGGCTTCTAAAGGGAAGTGAGTTAGTTGGAGATGGCTAAGGGAGCTTTCACTTTCAGTAGACTTCTAGTTGTTTGCATTTTTACAATGACCTTGCATTTATATTCGGTGCTTGTAATTATAAGTGAAAAGTGCTTTAAATACTGGCTACTATGGGGGAAAGGGCTTGAGAGAGATTAGGATTGTATACTTCAGTACTGCTTGATGTTCTTCATCCCAAATTTACATGATTTCCCAATAAAAACAAACAGGCAACTGACAGAGGGCAAAGGTTACACACAAATCTGTGAAGTGGAGATTCCCTAGGAAAAATCTAAGGGTTCCTCAAACACTGAAAACTATACTGATCTCTATCTTCATTGTATTTAAAATTAGTTTTCTAAGTGAACAGGTCAGAATCTATATTTAATGAATTTTAAGTATAGTACTTTTCTGTGATTTAGTAAATTAAAAATTTAGTCCCCTCCAGGACAGCTGTCCCTATACTCCCAGGCACTAGAAAACAATTCAAAACTAACACTAGGCCTTAGGAACTTTAAATGAGTTAAAAACAAACAAAAAATTAGGAAGGGCAGGAATGTCTTTGATCATAACTTTATAAATAACAATAATTTTTATATTTCAGTAGCTATATATTAAGCTGGTAGATAAATATTAGTAAATATAGTATGCTTATTAAACATTATAGAACACTCACAATGTCTAGAAATTGTGTCAGGCTCTCTCTGTGCATTATTTTCATTAGGCCTGTGGAAAGTATTCTATTTTCTCCGATTAAACATGTCCTCCACAATAAGAATTATTAAGAGGCCTCCAAATGTCAAAGAAATCCAGAAGTCGTTTATTGGGCTCTTTGGGGAAACACAACTCATCTCTCTTGAACTGAAAACCATGGTGATTTCCAAGATCTAGGTGTCTCCCCACCCCATGGTTCACTTTTTCTTCTCACTACACCACTCTGAAAAGACAGCCATGATGTGACAGCAGCATATTTTATTTATTTTTAGATAAAATTTTACAACACTATATATGATTCAGAGTTACAAGATCACTTTTCAGAGTACGTTGCCACACCACACCCACTCTAAGGCACATGGCCTCCACTGTAGCTCACTGAGCATCCTTCTCACTTTGCTTTCTCTACTCTCTCCCTAATTCGCTGGTAGCCTACAGTCTGATTTCTAAGGTTTGTTATTGGTTTGGTTTTGTCTGACTCTTTGTTTTGTTTCTCTATATTACATTATTAGTGATATGACACGGTATTTGTCTTTCTCCTTCTGACTTATTTCTCTTAGTGTTATCTCCTTTAATTCCATGTTGTTGCAAATGGCAAGTTTATCTTTTTTTTTTTTAAAGATTTATTTATTCATTCGTACAGAACTGGGGTACAGGCCAGAGATGCAGAGGGTGAGAGGATTCACCAGAGACAGAGTGGGGAGCAGAACAAGCAGATCCACGAAGTACACTGCTGAGGGGAGCAGTGGGCAGGTCAGGAGAGGTCTGCCTCCCCATGTGGTCGCCTCCAGGGCAGGCGGGAATCGAACTCATGCAGAGGTGGCTTTAGTTTCTTAGTGCAGTGCTTTAACCCGCTGCGCCACCAGGGAGGGCCAAGTTTATCTTTTTTATAACTGAGTAGTATTCTATTGTGTGTGTGTATATACATGTAGATAGATGGATAGATAGATAGATAGATAGATAGATAGATAGATAGATAGATAGATAGATAGATATCATATCTTAATCCACTCATCTGCCCTTGGAAGCTTCAGTTGTTTTTATTGCTTGGCTATTGTAAATAGTGCAAAATATACAGGAGTGCATATATCCCTTCAAATTAGTGTTTTTGCATTCTTTGGGTAGATACCAGGGAGTAGAATAGCTGGATCGTATGACAGATCTATTTTTAATATTTCGAGAAATCTCCATATTTTCCATAGGGACTAGATCAGTCTACAATCCCACTAACGATGTAGGAAAGTTCCTTTTTCTCTACACTGTTGCCAACATTTGTTGTTTCTGGTCTTTTGATATGGGCCATCTCACAGGTGAGAGAGATGGTATCTCTCTGTGGTTTTGACTTACATTTCTCTGAGGGCAAGTGATGGTGAACATGTTCTCATATGCCTATTGGCATCTGTATGTTCACTTTGAAGAAATACCTATTTAGCTTTTCTGTCCACTTGATTGGGTTGTTTCTGTTGAGTTGTAGATCTTGACTTTCAGTCCCTTGTCAGATACATGGTGTGTATTTTCTCCCATTCAGTAGGGTGTCTTTGTTTTATGATAGTTTCTTTAACAGGGCAGAAACATTTTGGTTTAACTTTGACTTTTTTTTTTCGTTTTCTTTTCTTTCTTTCTATTTTTTTGCTACTGAAGATGACTCCACAAAGACATCACTGAAGACAATAATGTAGAGCCTTCCCCCGCCTCCGTGCCCCCCCCCCCGTATTTTCTTCTTCTTCTTCTTTAATTCAAGTCTTTAATTCGCTTTCAGCTCTCTCTCTCTCTCTCTCTCTTGGTATATGGCTGAGATTGTGGTCTGGTTTCATTCTTTTGCATATGGTTGTTCAGTTTTCCCAGCACCATTTGTTGAAGGAACTTGTTTTCTCCAATGTATACTCTTGACTCCTTTGTTGTAGGATCAGCTGTACATAAAAGTATGGGCTTATTTTTAGGCTCTCAGATCTATTCCACTGGTCTCTTCCACTGGTGTTTTTTTTTTTTTCTAATGGCATTTATATAGTATAGGTGTTTTAAATGAGCCTAACATTATCATGGGCTCATAGTAGGCTGAACGTCTTTAGGTCCATGGCAGATACAATACAAATTCTTATTAAAATTGCCAAGCCCTTTATTTTCTTTTTAAAAAAGATTTATTTATTTATTCATACAGAACTGGGGTACAAGCACAGTTGTGCAGGTGTGGTGAGAGGCTTCACCAGAGACAGAGTGGGGTGCAGAACAGGCAGATCAATGAAGTACACTGCTGAGGGGAGCAGTAGGTGGGTCAGTAGAGGTCTGCCACACTACTCACATCACCTCTGGGGCCAGGGATCCAACTAGAACTGAAGCGGCTGTGGCTAGCTTGAGTGCTGTGTCCCAACCAGTTGGGCCACCCGGAAGGGCAGCCAAGCTCTCTATTTTCTAATTGTCTGAACCGAAGTCTTAAACTTCCTAGCATTCATTCTCTGTTAAATATTCAATATTTTTGGGCCTGCGTGTTTGTTTGTTTGTTTTAAGATTTATTTATGCACACAAGAACTGGGTGTATGAAAGATTTTGAGGGTGGGGTGGGGTGAGATGATTCACCAGAGACACAACAGAGAGCAAAATAGGTGGTATGACCGCAGCACTGGTGAGGTGAGCAGGGGGCAGGACAGGAGAATTCTGCCACACCCTGTGGGTCATCCCCTGCCCCCCTCCGTGAGCAGGGGCCGAACTCTGTGCTGCAGTGACTGGGGATAGCTTCATAAAGCTGTGCTTTAACCTATTACGCCACTAGGAAGGGCCCTGGACTTGCGTTTTTGAAGGAAAACTGCAGGTTCTAAGCTATGCATTCTCTGGAGTTTACTAAGCAAGTCGCCTATATAATCTCTGGCACAGGTTCTTAAAACGAGTTGGCTAGACCAAAGTGAGTGCACTCTGAGATCCTAGGAGCGGTGGCTCGCGCCCCAAGCAGGGTGAGGACCTCAAATCCGAAGGCGCCGTTTTACAAAGTGCGAACCCACCCAACGCAAGCTATCAGTAAACATCACGGGATTATAAGAAAATGAAACTGAATTCGGGAAAGTCCCTTTGCTAACCTAAGAAGGCCTTTGGGCGCTAGATACTAGTGACGGTCCCCGCGGTCAAGGTTCTCATTGGTTATGCGCACGCGGACTATAAGAGGAAGCGCAGGGTTGCGCGCTCATTTCGGAGTTGGTCCTTGGAGAGGTCGACATGGCTTCCTCCGCTGCTCTGGCCCTGTTAGTTCTGCTGGCTGTGACCGGCCTGGAAGCTGAGAAACGTGAGTGCCCTCTTCTCCATTAACCCTTCCTTAACCGTCCTCATGCTGTCTTTGGCATTCTTGGTATTCTCAACCTTTGGAACACTCGGCCCCAGCCCCCACCTCCTTCTTCCACCCTGGACCCGGAGTGGGAAAACAGTTGGGGTGGCTGGCGAGTGAGGAGGAAGTGTGAGCTCAGGATGCATGCTGATTTTTAGCCCCTTCTTCGGGGCCAGCAACAGGGGAGTCTTCTCGCATCCCCAAGAGGAGTAAGTCCAGACAAAGTTTCAGAGTATTGGTAAGAGCGACCAAGTAGAGGATGGTTTCTCTCTCCCTCTTTCCTGAGACCTCTCATTCCTTGGACGCAGCTGGAGAAGGGGGCGGCGCGGGGACGTGTGTCTGTGACTCGATAGAGGCACATGTTTGGGCTTTAGCGATACCAAGCTGCGGCACCTCTGCTTCCCTCGCATCTAGGGGGCTGCGGATTTCTCCCAGCGTCTTCCAGGTTCTATTGCCCTTACTCGCGACCCCACTGATATGGGACGAGATAGGACCATGAATCAGCGTAAAAAGTGTGTAGAATGCTTGAAGGTGGTGTAAATACCACAGCATTAACCCACTTGTTTCCATCATATGTCGAGTTTAATAGCAAACATGAGGACCACCTGCTGTTGACAGCTGTGTGTTGGAGAAGTTATGTGCCTTTTGTTATTTAATTCTGAAATGTGCCTACGTTGTAAAAAAAAAAAAAAGTTATCAGCATTTCACTAAAAGAGGACACGGAGGCACCAAAAGTTTAAGTAACTTAATTACACTGGCTGGCAGTCAGTGGCGGATGATGGGGCCTGACCAGGACATTTTGCAGGGATGTGAGAGCCTTCTGACTGTCATTCGCGTTCTTTTTCAGCATCATCTCCTCACTTTCTTCAGGTTGACTCCTCCAACCCCCCCTACTTTCACCACTCCTCCATTACTTCTGGCTTTTGGCTCTTAGTTTCCCCTTCCCTGCCCCCCAAGATGAACTGAGCTTCTACTTTCAGTTTTGAAAAGGCAAAGGTTTCTTAGTAAGGGAGGTTGTAAAACTAGTCACAGGGTAATCAAGACGGTTAATGAGGCTGTCTGTCTTGGACACCACAAGTCTTGAGCCATATTAAATATTGGTTATATGCCTGACCCTAATTTACTTCCCCCCCACACACACAAAAGCTTCCGTGAAGCAGTGTTTTTTGGTAATTAGGATATTTAATTTGGATTTATTTACAAAATAAAGCATAGTGTCTATACTTCAACATTATTGGTAATTGCTAGTGACTATGAAGTCTATATTTACTATGAAGTCTTTATTTCATTTATTTATTTGTGCATACAGAACTGGGGTACAGGCCAGAGGCTCAGGGGCCGTGAGAGGCTTCACCAGAGACAGACTGGGGAACAGAACAGGCAGATCGATGAAGTGCACTGCTGAGGGGAGCAGCGGGCAGGTCAGGAAAGGTCTGCCACGCCATGTGGTCACCTCCGGGGCAGGCAGGAATCGAACTCATGCGGAAGTGGCTTAAGCTTCTTAGTGCTGTGCTTTAACCCGCTGCGCCACCAGGCAGGGCCCTATTTCATTTCATTTCTTTTCTTTTCTTTTTTATTTT